TCCCAATATTACTTGAGTTCCTGATATCCCCGATACTATTTACATTATATAAAATTTTGCAATTCATTTCATTTGCACATTTAACAAGAAGAGTAATTTAATGAAGAGAGTTACCCACATAAGTTGACAAGGAGACCCCAGGCCTAATTTTCTCCCTATATATATATTTTGTATTGATTTATTGTAAGACATCTTGAAAAACAAGTCAAAATATATATTCTTAAACAAAAAAAAATTAAATTCCTCCTTGAACCATTTGTTAGTTGCCACTATGTACACTTTTCTGCAGAGAAAACAAAATCACCACAAATGACAGAAACCTCACTATTTTCTTTTTATATGTGAGGTATTGTGGTGACTGCAGTTTAACTTGATCTTCTGATTTTAGGGTTAGGAGACAGAGAAGAATTCATATATTTGACTGTATTAGCCCTACGTTGTGAAAAACACATTTTATTGCATTTTGAAGAGTAGAAAATGAGTTATAATTCATTGCAAAGCTGCCCTAATGTGAATTGACACCTGGTATATAAATGCTATAACCCCTGGGAGGTCATTACCACTGGATTTAACTAACGTTAAGGTATCTTTTTCTTGTTAAAAAATATTTTCAGATCACACAATCATTAAAAAAAACCCTGATGCTCAGCGAGATAATACAAACTGCGATTTCAGATTACAAAATGACAATTATAAGCAACTGTTATTCTGCATTACATAATCAAGACAGAAATATATTACTATTCTAGGTTTAAACTGAAATATCAGTATGTCAGCAGGATTTCTAAAACTTGACCCAGTGATAAATGAAACTTATGGACAACTGGAAATACAAAAGATGTGAAAAATGGCATCATAAATGTATTTTGTCAGTTTTTGAAGGTGCAAAATGTTGATTGTCAATGTATTTTGTACTGGTAGTCATCTGTTTTATAAAACAATAGTCAAGTATATATTGGGCTTTTTGTAGAAGATGCTGCTATAGTTTGAAATGGAAATTAATATAAACACTGAAATTAAAAATTACCAAGAAGCTTGTATTCATGATAGTAGAAACATTTATGAAATTATTCCAGAGACACATCCTTATCTTGCCTTACAGCCAGTTTATAAATTATTCTTTCCATTGAGAAAAGGAAGGATTGTGTATAAGTACATGTCAAGCCTCAAGCTCTCAAGTTTTATTATCCACACATTAAATCCACAATAGATTTCATATATTTTATTCCCTGAACATGTTGTTTCTGAACACTTTGATTTTGTATAGTGTGTTGCAGGGTCAAACTGTTTGAACACGTGATTTGAAATCTCACTTTCAGCTCTGTATAAAGGCTGATCAGATGCTTTTTAGATCTGACATATAACACACACACATTTTTAAATAGCCTTTTCATGCTACAAATTATACCTTTGTAAACTTCCTCATGCAGTCCCAATGAATACTTCATCTTCAATTAAAATTATTCATAAACAAATATGCAAAGTATAACAAAAAGATACAACCATCTTCTGAAGTCTCTCAAGTAGTTAACATCTTTAATATGAGGTAGCTGTTGTCTTTGCGCCAGCCTTATAACTATGGAAACTTCACCAAGAGGTAAGGAAAGGTTATTTAATTAGTTATGACATTCATACCCCACTTTCCACATAGAGATTTTCCAAAGGAGCTTACCTCAGATGAATCAGTAATACCACCCTCAATCTTTTTCTCTCTCTCTTTCACACACACATACACACACTTATATAATACAACACAACATTAAATAAAACAGCTCATATATTTGTACATACACAGGCATCCATCTAATATAAGAAAGGCAAAAGTTTCAACAGCAAGCTCTTCCTGGGGAGAGCACTCTCCAGCCAAAAGTGCTAGCTCCAACCAGGCTGTTTTACCCTTGGAGCCACCAGCTGCACCTCCATCCATGAAACACCAGTGAATTAATGGGTGGAAACTATATTTGGACCAGAAAGCAAAAAGCCAGATGAATTCAGAACTCTGGATACTAAACCAGGTACATTTCTATTAAATGCAGTATTATTTAGACTGTTGTTTTACTCCTTCTGAAAATATTACCAAAGGATCAACTTATTAAATTACTAAATTTAAAACGGCAAAAAAGGGAGAAATTATTCAATGGAAAGATTCTCAGATCTGCATGGGCTCTCTGCAGAAAACACCTGAAGATCACAATGTCATTCTGCTAAACACAAAGCGTTATCAAATCCACATGAAAATTCAATCTGTTTGCTAACCCAAATGTAACCTGAACACATGGCCTGAGCAACTTCGAAGACGTCAATTTGCATTACGACTGCTATTTCTCTCTATCCTTTCTGCAGCAAGTGGCACGCAGGCCCAGCTTACTTGTCCAAATGTATCTCCCTCTACGTCCCACCTCAGAGCTTAAGATCTTCCAGGGAGGCCCTGCTCTCAATCCTGCCATTGTCACAAACGTGCTTGGCGGGGACGAGAGACAGGACCTTCTCGGTGATAGCCCCCCACCTGTGGAACTTGCTCCCCAGCGAAATTAGGTCAACTGCTTCTTTCCTTTCCTTTAGGAAAAAGCTGAAAACGTTGTTGTGGGACCAGGCATTTAGGAAGCAGGCTGATAATAAAAATGATGACAATGCTATGGAAAATGGACTATGGACAGGCTTCGAACTAAGTCGTTGGTCGTAGAACTTGGATTTAGATATGGCCAACCAATTTAGTACTATTTTAAATGGATTTTAATTTAATTTAATATTTTAAATTAAATGTAACTGCTGTTTTATTTGTTTGTATATGGGGGGCATAGAATTGTTGCCAGTTGTAAGCCGCCCTGAGTCCCGCCCCCCCCCCAAAGGGGTTGAGAAGGGTGAGGTAAAAATATTTGAAATAAATAAATAAATACATACATAAATATAACAAAAATGAAACTCAGAGAGTAAAACCATACAGACAGCCCATATTCAGAACTTGTTATATGCACATGAACAAGTGGACAAGCCTGTTGTATAAAGACATGGCTGCATTTCAAAAGCTGTCTCAATTCCTGGCTCCCATTATGCTTTTGGAGCCAAATATACTTCCCCTTCTCTCCACACCTCCCAGATCCTCTGCGGTGAAAAAATCAATAGGGATTTTAATTAGACTGATTGGAATGAGAAAGTTCACTTTCTTCTTTGCTTCTGCATTCACTTGTCTTGTCATTTAGGGACACATAATCATTTTGGTCTCTACTATGTCCTCATCACTTTCCACTTGTTTACAGTTTCATATTCAGGAACTTTCACTAAGGAATCAGGGCATTCATAAGGGATACAATTAAGTTTCTTATCCACATGGAAAAGATCTATGTATTTGCTTAGCTCACAAATGACAAACCTGTTTTTAGGTTTCTGATCTGGATTATGGGTTCACATTATTGTATACAAGGAAAGGTTAAATAACTAGCAATAACTAGCTTTCTAAATATGTGAAGTTAAGAACCTCGAGATGCTTCTGTAAACACAAAACACACATTCTCAACACAAATATGCCTAAGCTCCTCACTGCCTAATCTGACTGAGCTGTTCAATACAAAAAAATACCAAAGGTATAGTTCTCGGACTTCAATAATACCCTTCTACATAATACATAGGCCTGGGTAACAACGGAAAAATTTGTTTCTAAAATCGATTTGTATTTGGGGGGTTTTTTTGTTTCGATATTTAAAATAATTACAAATTTTCCTTTTAAAAAGTTCGATATTTACGAAATTTCGTAAATGGTAAAAAATTAACGAATCGATTTCCGAAACAATAACGAATCGATTCGTTAATGGCGGACGCGACCGCGAAATACGCTAAAAAACCTCCAAAACCTTCTGAAGCTTCCCTCTCCCTCTGTTGTTGACTGTTGGTGTGATATTATATTTTTTTTTCACTAATTAAACCGTAAAACTGGCCCAGACATGCGGAAATAATAACGAAACGACCTCAAAACAATAACGAAACGAATACAATATCGAAATACGAAGCATTTACAAAACGTTTTTGAAAATTCGTTTTTTTTTTAATAATTGCTCCAGAATGGTTCGTTATCGTTTTGTAATTGAAAAAATTAACGAATTATTAACGAATTACGAATTAACGAAACGAAACCGCCCAGCCCTAATAATACACTTTGTGTAGCCTGTGTAACTTCATATAGACAGCCAAATTCTACAACTTATGACAGACTCCAAGACAGAAGCCAGGCTAATACTCTCTAACCTTCTGAGTAAGGACTGGTTATTAGAAAACTACACATGGAAAAACACACTTGCATCCTGAGAATAATTTCCTATTTTTTTTCTGTATCAGGAATAACTTGAGAAACTGCAAGTTGCTTCTGGTGTGAGAGAATTGGCCGTCTACAAGGATGTTGCCCAGGGGATGCCTGGATGTGGGAGGCTTCTCTCATGTCCCTGCATGGAGAGCTGGAGCTGACAGAGGGAGCTCAATCCACTTTCCCCAGATTTGAACCTGTTGATCTTCAGCCCTGTCGGCACAAGGGTTTAACCCATTGCACCACCAGGGTTAAACCTATTGCAGTTCAAGGACTCATATGGCAAAATTACACACACAACACAGGCCCTACACCTCTGTCTCTGACACGCTCATACACATATATCTTGGGGGAGGGGGCAGACTAAGCATTAAAAAAACTAGTAGCACAGGAAGATGGTTCAGATAGGACCCTTTTATATGCAAGACATTTTTATGCATAGAAGAGCACTGTCACATGAGTCATATGAATCTTCCAATATCAATGCAATATCAAATGGAACAGTCAAGACACGAACATTTACCATCTGTGAGAACTAGCCCCAAGTAGCTCAGCCACAAAATACCATCTTAAAAATCTATAAGGCAAACAACTGAGCTTGCATCAGTTTGGGATCTAGACTGAACCATCATTTTAAAACACAACCAAGTAACATCTTTATGAATGCCATGTACCTTGATTTGGGTACAAAGGAACAGCAACTTACAAGACAGTGAATGGGTGCCTTTGGGTAAGTATTCAAAGAGCAGAGAACTCTCTTCGCCCAGCATGTCGGCTTTCAAGGACAACAAACTGTTCTTGCTCATAAGAGCTGCCCGCAGGTTCGCAACTGCCACGGCCTGAAGAGCATTCTCCTTCTCTGGTGTAAGAGGCTGAGAGAGGTAACTGGCTTCCCCGCCTAGGAGGGCTTCATCGACTGCTGAATAAAGGTCCACTCTTTCTATTCGGCTGTCAGAAATGTTGGGTTCTGCCCCTGTCAGGTCCACACCTAAAGGGAAAAAAGGAGTATAAATAACCATGCACCAAGGGTGTTCTCTCGGACATATGTGCATTTGTAGTGCTGCCCAGCCTTCATCTATAATATCAGCAATCCTAATATCCTGTTTAAAGGGATCTAAGATTATTTGCTTTTCCAGAGTGAACTTCCATACTATTTTATCTACTAACACTGAATTCAAATGCATATTTTCACATAAAGGCACAATGCTGCATAATCACTGAGGACAAAGATAACTTGAGAAAGGTCTTCCCTTTTATTTATCCATCTGCAATTTATTAAAACAGTGTTTCTCAACCTTCCTAATGCCGCAGCCCCTTAATACAGTTCTTCATGTTGTGGTGATCCTCAACCATAAAATTATTTTCGTTACTACTTCATAACTGTCATTTTGCTACTGTTATGAATCGTCATGTAAATATATGATATGCAGGATGTATTTACATTCCCTGGACCAAATTTGGCGCAAGTACCTGATACACCCACATTTGAATACTGGTGAGGTTGTTGGGGATTGATTTTCTCATTTGGGAGTTGTAGTTGCTGGGATTAATAGTTCACCTAAAATCAAAGAGCACTGTGAACTCTACCAACGATGGAAATGAACCAAACTTGGGACACACAATTCTCATGGCCAACAGAAAATACTGGAAGGGTTTGGTTGGCATTGACCTAAATCAATGCACCTAAATCCAGAGAGCACTGTAGACTCATATAATCTGGACCAAACTTGGCAAGAATAATCAATATGCCCAAATGTGATCACTGGTGGAGTTTGGGGAAAATAAACCTTGATATTTGGTAGTTGTACTTGCTGAGATTTATACTTCACCAACAATCAAAGAGCATGCTGCACCCCACCAATGATAGAATTGGGCCAAACTCCCCCCCCCATCTTGAAGGTATTTGCTGGCGTGAACTGCTACAGTAAATCGTAGCAGGATCAAATCTTATGGTGTTAATTACTATGTACAGCTGGTAATGTAGGTCAGCCAGCATGTTTGGCCCACACCTGGTGGGGTATAACTGTATGGATTTTAGAATACAGTTTGGAGAAGCAATACGCTACTCTGAGGAGAAGCAATATGCTGTAATGCTGCTATGCTCTAACAGTGATGCTCTTTGCTATGGTGGAATAGCTATTTACTCAAGGTTTATGTTTTGTTCTCTCATTTGTGTTACTTACAAGGCCTATGTAAGTTTGTTGCACTGTTTGATTTTGTATGCAACATTGCAAGTTTATGCCTCTCCTGATAAGAGTAAAGTTTTTCTGTTCCTTTTTCCTCTTGTTTGTGTGTCTTTTGCATGGGACTTGGCTAAAACATGCATTGTGCAACATGAACCTCCCTCCAGCCTCACCTGCACATGTGCACTACACTGCCATGCGCCGAGAATGCCTGCTCTCCCCTCCCTGCTTGGAGTCTCAGAAACAGCCCTCCCTTTGACTGAGATGCCGGCTGAGAGACTGGCCAATCACAGCGAAAGAAGGCTTTTGATGGAAGGATTCGCTTTTTGTTTCCAAAAAGGAAAAAAAGAACAGGCAGAGAAATCTTCAGCCTTTTCTTGCCAAAGAGGTTCCTAAGACCATCAGAGATATATGTTTTCTGATGGTCTCTGGTGATCCCTCTGAAACCCCCTCACAACCCCCCCAGGAGTCTTGACCCCCGGGTTGAGAAATGCTATATTAAAAGAACAAATAACTATTGAATATCTCAGTTACATTCAAACATATTTTTTGAAATGCAATACTTCTATATATAAAAAGGTAATGAAAGCAGCACTCTCATCCCAAGTCTCTTTCATATTTGAAATACAATAACATGCCCTGGGCCTTGTAACGATTTCCAGACATTAAATAACAAAATGCAAAGAAGGTGCTGCTGACAGTTTCCATATAAATTATTACTCACTGCTCACCCGTATTAAATGTTCTTCGAAAGCCACTTTCAAGAACTGTAAGTCAGTTCAGAGTTTCTCATGTCAGTTTGGGGCACCAGAAATAAAGAATACCTTTCTGGACTTTAAAAGCTAAAACAACTATATTATGGCATGAGCTTTCATTAGATCAGTCAACCTCATCATAACCACGAAATTCTATCTTTAGTTTACCTATACACCCAGGGAGGGTGAACTACAAAGCACTAGATCAGAGGAAACTGAAATGCTGAAATCCTAACTGCTAAAAGTCTCAAGTGTGACAGTTTCCTTCAACAGTTACAAAACAACATCATAATACTGACGTGCTTGCATTAGTATACAAGGTAAGATTGTGTCAGTATTTTATAGCTACAATAGTTAACATCTGTGGAAGGCAGCCTAATTAAATCAAACAGGAGGTCTGTGCCCAAGGAGATACAAGTTGCAAGTCTGGAAACCGTTAAAATCTAAGAATTACGCAAGCACACATCCTAGTTTCCTAGCAGGTGACCAAACCTTACTCAGTCCAATGAGAAGAAAAGATAATGGATTAAAATGATCTAGAGCAGTGGTCAACCTGTGGTCTGTGGACAACCAGTGGTCTGCAAGAACTAAAACATGGTCCGCAGCCTCACCATTATTACACTGTTGCAACAAGAGCGACTGGTCTCACAAAACCCTCTTATCGCACACTGTCCTGCACTTCATCCACTTCCCCGGCCCTATGATACGCTGTTTGAACTATTCTCTGCTCTGCCCCTCTATAGTTGGCCACACTCAGTTTGTAATTCTGGCCATTGAAATAGGTTTTTAATATTTTTATATATTTGTGTGTTTAACAGGATTTGTTTATTTTAAGATGTTTTTAGTTGTTATTTCGTTTAAGTTAAATTAAATTGTGTTATTTTGATGCACTTTTCTGTATTGTTTTCTTTCCGGCAACTGAAAGAAAACAATATAGAATGCCTTATACATTATATGTTGGAAACTGCCCTGAGTCCCTTCAGGGAGATAGGACAGTATACAAATAAAATTTTATTATTATTTTTAATTATAGTGATGAGGCTTATTAAATATGGATTTCTGTGGGTGTGCAGATGGCGACTATTGTGGTGTAATGTAAAAATAAGCCACATGTAGTTCACGTTTGATCAGCCCACACACTGCCTTGCCAGAGAAAGAAAATATGCCACACAGATGAACAGTAAAGAACAAGTAGTTTACTCTTCGTAGTCCAGAACAACATATGCATAATGTGATCAGTTGCAACAACTCACATAATGTCCATTTATGAGACATTTAAAATGGTCTTTCTTTGTCCACATGGATAAACTCCTTCAGCAACTCATAAAACAAGAGCTCCAAACTCTGTCTCTCTCTCTCTCTTTTCTGCTTCTCTCCAAGTACCTGCATAGCTCGAGCCTGAAAAATGTAACAGTAACCAAAAGCCCCAGGCTCAGCCACACCCCACATGAAGTCTGACCAATCAGCTTCATGTATCTTATTTCACATTTGACACATAACACATACACACACACTAGCTGATTTCTTGCATGCTCCGACAACTAGTGGAGGGCATATGTTCTGTATCAAAAACAAGAGCTGATGTGGTCTATCCAATGCAATTTTCTAAATCAGCACCCCCAAATAACCAAACTGAAGCTGAAGTTGACCAAAAATGATTCATAATCCTTTTTGTATTAATGCTGGAGAGTGGTCCCTGGTCAAAAAAAGGTTGGGAAACACTGATCTAGAGAAATCGATTTCATCCAGGAATCTCTAAACTAGCTCACTGTGTTTCCATGAAAAGATGGCAGACAAATATTTTTCAAATGCCTAATAAATATATGGTTGGATAGCAAAGTATTTTTTTCAGGTTATTGTAAACCTGTCTCAGCATTTCCCTTCCTACGTCCACATCCAGGAGCTGATGAACCAAGAACTATACTGCCCAGGATTAAATTTACTGCTGCAGAATGAAGAAGGGCAAGTCCATGAACTATGATACAATGCTGATAGAAGTTGACACAGATAAATGAAAAACTTAATTAAATTGTGGGAGCCGCATCTGAGACATGGCAGGAATACAAATTGAAAACCCTCCTCCATCTGCTACAGCAAGGAGTCAGGGTCAGGAATCAGAAACCCAGCTTTGATAACCTTAAAGCAAAACTTCACTTTAAAAAAACGTTGTTCCTGCTTACTATAATCAAAACGGGAAGACAACAATGAACATTCAAGATGCAATATAAAATACATGTGCTGAGGAACACCACATAGAAGATGAATCAACCCTTTTAGAAAACATCTTGATTGCCTCATGAATGTTTCCTTGTCCATTCCACTTTTACTCTCGCAGAGGAGTACTAATATGAGAAGTATTCTGTGTGGCGAGAATGGCTTTGCACATCTGCAAAATTGTTTTTCCTTCCAAACGGATGGCATACCGCACAATTGCTATTATCTAAATAAAACATACAATCTAAAATAAAATATCTTTGTTGTCGAAGTTAGCACTAATAAATATTTGTTAGCTCAGGAACCAAACTCAAATTAACCCTTGTCTGGTACCAATAGAACAGTGGGCCAATAAAACAAAGACATAGCTCTAATTGCAATTGCAGTCCCAACCAGAGTAGAACTTGATAATGCCCAGCTTAATTGAGTTACAGGGATTCAACGGGTCTACTGTAGTTTGGATAATTTGATTTAGCCCATTATCACTACTCAGAAGAACATCTGCTTCAAAAAAAAAAACTTCTTCAATTATTAAAATCTGTTCAGGAAGCCCTGCTAAGAGTTTAGCTCTTGTAGATAGTTCCATTTTTAATAGTTTAACTAGGATTCTTTTTGCAGGTCGACTTTGGAGTTTATAAGGAGGCCTATTATATGTTCCTCTTACTTTTAGGTCACTGGGATTGATTTTCCTATATTGTAAGACCTTTAAATTGGTCACTAATGAGACTCTTGGCTTTTATAACTGTAGCTTGTTTTTGAACACAGTGTATCCCCTTTATTATGTGAACATTAAGCTTTTCAAATATAGTTTTAATGGTCCTTTTATGTTCCATGAA